TATTTTAAAAGTATTTCATAATTACATTAATATGAAATTTTAAAGTTTAATAATGCTTTATGTCCACCAGGACTTTAGACACATATATGCACGAATAGAGTCTGCACTAAGACTGCATCTCTTAACAAAAATTAAATTAGTTCCTCCAGAAAATACTCGCTCTACTGGGACACTAGTAGCAGTAATCGCAAGATAATCTCTAGCTATCCTAGCCAAATTGGAATATTTAGCTTCGTGCACTTCCTACCATTGAAGAATATCTTGTTTTCTCATTGCCCGAGAAGCTTCTAGATATAACTCAACTTCATTTTGTTGATTAATTCTTTGTTTCTTTCTATAAATATAATCTAAAAGCAAATTATCATCATTATCTATATTATCTTGATCATAATTGGTAGCTTCATAGGAAGATGATTCATAATTATTTTTATAGATTTGAAGAATAGTTGCTTTAATGCCATTAATAAAATCTTTGCTCCAATTATTTTCTTTGTAATAATCTAATTTTAGTCTTGGATCAAGAACAGTTGTGATAATATAAATAGCCATATTGTTTGTTCTTGAATAATATGATTCTAACTTTATCAATCCTGCATTTACTGCAGTGATTATTTCATGAGAATAATTAGGATTTGCGATGTTTTGTGAGTTCATCGATCAAATAATTATATATTGGTATAATAGAAGCGAGCATTGGATATTTTGCTGATTCAATCATTTTGGTTGTTCGTACAAATATTTCTAAAATGGTTACAACCTCTCTAATTTTATTCCATTCATGAATATCAAGTTGTAATGATTGAAGATCCTTATCTAAATGTGTAATTGTATCGATTGTATCATGCATCACCAGCACTCGCACAAGCATTTCGTAAGTAAAGTTCCACCTAGTCTTAATATCCAATATAAGATTACAACTCTCAAGACCAGCAGCTTTAACTTGACGCATAAATCGGTCACGATGCTGCGGTGATGATCTAATTTTAACTACAAGTTTTCGAAGTTTCAGAATTATATTTTTAGCCATTATGGGTGTGTTCATATTATCAAAGATAGCATTTTCAGTTTGTGCTTTGCCAGCCTTGAATTGTTTAAGAATATCTTGCATGACCAGGTTTATGATATGAACAATGCATCTACAATGAGATTCAACAGCATTAAAAGCAATATTCTCATTATAATATATATTTTTCAGATGTTGCATAAAAATATCATTGTTTGTAGCATTATCACTTGTAATCGTAAAAATTTTTGGTAAAATTCCAAATTCACGACAGCTACTAACAAATGTATCGCACAAGTTCTCTCTTGAATGAGGACCGTGAAGATTAATAAAATCCAATAAAATACTTTGAAGCTTCCAGTCTTTAGAAATCCAATGTACTGTGATGGCGAAAAAAGAATAAATATTTGCTGATGTCCACACATCAATAGCAAATGAAAGTTTTCCTGGAACACTTTGAAGTAAGCATTTTATATTTATGCTTTCATCTTCGAAACTTTTTATAATATCATTTCTAATCGTATCCCCTACAGGAATAGTTGTATTTGGATTTAACAGCTTTATCATTTGTCGAAAGTGTTTATTTTCAACAGTCGTAAATGGCTGATTATCTAAGACTA